TAGGACTGACGACCTTATGAAGATGATGAATGCTCATAGAAAGATAGTTCGCATATTAAAAGCTCAAGCCATTAGTATAAATAGCAACAGTACGAGGATTTTTCTTCATTTTTACGTCAAAGGCAATTAAATAGATTATTTTGTGAATTCCTATAACGTTCTTTATAATTTACCAGGCATTAAATTTTATTACCTGTCTTTAAAATGCATTCTCATTTACATTTGCAGGAATTTTAATATAATCTGTAATCCAGTTTTGTTGCCTTGATCTACTATCGCTTTATCGAAATTATTATTATACTGAAGAAAATTTATGAACATAAATTATTATCCATGCGTACGCCAATAATTAATTTTCAGAAATATGTTACTCTATTTCTTATTATTAACGTAACTTCTTTCCGCTGATTGCGAGTTGAACAACTAAACAATTTATTTACAGTGTTGAGCTGAATTAAATTAACTATAAATCATAACAGCACAGTTTTTAATTATAATATCGTGAACTGTTAGTGGAATAATTATGTTATATTTTTGATTTTATTTAATCTTATTAATTATCATGGAAAAGCAGTTTACTTCATCTTAAAGCATATTCCTAAAATACTGAAGTAATATTTTTTGTATTAGCTGCTTGGTTTAATTGTTCATTGTAGTTCTGTACCAAAATCAGTTTTAAATGAAAAAAATTTGTAATACGTTAAACAAAAATGTTTTGATAGGATTGATATGGAAAATACGATAATTAGCGATTGTAGTATGGAACTATCTTTTAGTTACTAATATTTCGACTGATAATTCAATCTCCTTCAGGATTCTGCAATAATTGTTATAATTAAAATAAATTTACAGATGGTCTGTCAATTCAGACGGTTTGTAATCCCTTTTCAATAATGTAACGGAAACGGATATTAGAAGACGGTGAAAATTTATTTATAAATGAGTACCAATACACATAATATTGTTTTCTCAAGAATATTATGTAAAGTTGTATGCACAGGAAAATTAAACTTGATCGTTTTATACGTGAACCTAAATACCGTTCATTTTATATCTTAATTAACTTCTTCGTCCTTCTGAAATAAACTTTGCAACTGTAAAACGCTGGATCTTGTAATATGACACGATATTTATTGACGACAAATCGTAGGAACATTATTTATTTCTTAATAATTAATTTAAAAGTCAAAAACTAAAGAGTATGAGAATAAATAAATAAATTACCAGTTGTAAGCGATTCATTAGATAGCAATGGCAATTAACATTAGCTTTACGGTATATGCTCTTATTTCTTTATTTTATTTATGATGCAAAGTATAGTTATAGAGTTGTTAATTAAAAACATAAGTTGGTTGGAAAAATATGGTTATTATAGGAAGTTCAGTGTACTGTTTTTGAAGTTGGGTTTGAGCATTCTAATAGTGTTTGCAACACCGCCAAAATTTTCCAGTGACCTCTAGGCGTATCATCTATAGAATATCCTTTATAAATTCCCTATTTCTTCGCATAGTTCTATATATGAAAAAAAAGTCAATACTAATTATGGTAGTAATGTCTTTATTTGATTATAAAACCGATACTAACGTTTCATTTCTTGTTGGGAAGCTTTGTCAAGGTAGATTCTCTTGGTTAATTACAAATTGTTTAAAAATAGTTAGTGTTTGCAATCGGTTTATGATCTTGCGAAAAACTTGAAATCCAAAAGCACACATATATAAAATAATAAACTAGAGAAGGCATTTGCGGCTAGTTGGTGCTGTCTTTTAGTGCAGTTTTCAACTATTTATTATTTTATGGACTGATGCGTTTCTGAGATGCTTCCTAACGTTTCGTCAGCACAAGTGGTGAGTTTCTTCAAAGGTCCTACCATTTTCTATGCTGTAAACTACATATCTGGCATCTAAAATGGAAGGACCTCCAACCAACGACAGCCTTTAGAACCGAATCAGGACAGCATCAGTCCATAAAATAATAAATAAATAAATAGTTAAAATCTACACTAAAAGACAGCACGATATATAAATAAAATAATAAATTATATTATAGAAATTAGACACCATGTAGCGACATTAAGGGACACTGTTACACTGATGAAGCCTCCCGACAAGAGGCGAAACGTTGGGGTTGGTTCTGTATTCAAATAAAGACATTACTACCCGCATAAGTCTTGACTCTATTTTCATATATGCTTCAAGTCCCAACTTCAACGTTATATATTTGTTATAAATATAACGAGCTTCATCATAATTGTATCATCCATAGTTTATATAGATATAGATAACATTATTAATCGTCCTTTATTTGTGCACTCGTAATCCTTGCTGATGTTATTGCCTGTGTGAAGTCAAGTGCGGTGCAAAAGAGACTTTAGAACTGGTTCTTATATAAGATTTCCTGGGTTGCAGTATAGTCTACAATAACGGGATTTTATTTCTTTTATCCTTTTACATGTAATAGATACATCCGTTTCAAGCAGCGCTTATGCGTGAAGAATAAATGAGGTGCAATTGCAGGATGCGTGATGCTCTTGTTAGAATTAATGCGCCGTGCTTTGGAAATAAGGGATTGAAATGTACACAGTTAATAAATTCTGATCGCGAATAAATGTTGGCAATAACTACAGTGTCGATCCAACATTGTGCTTTTTTTTTTATAACGCACATAGGTATTACAACCACAACGGAAAAAGTGGTAGGTACCTACAGCCTGATACCTCACGATTTTTTAAATAAATTAAATTGACTAATCAATTTTTAATCCTTATTCGGTCTTCTAATGGGTTAATATTTTTTACGAATTAAAAAAAATTAAAGTAGGAGAGCAGAGGAAGGTGGAAGTCAATAAGAAATAGGCGAGATAGGTTAGTAGGACACCTTCTCAGGCGTGAAGGTCTAGTCAGAGACATATTAGAGGCAGAAACAGGAGTTAAGAGGGGTAGAGGTAGACCTAGATTAGATTACTGTTCGCAAATAGTTAAGGATGTGGGCTGTTCTAGTTTTAGGGAAATGCGAAGTTTAGCTCAGGATAGGAAAGAGTGGAGGTACGTGTCCAACCAGTCTTAGGACTGACGACCTTATGATGTTGAAAAAATTGATATTAAAGTTTATTTATTTAAGGGATTAACTGTGGAATCAGAAACGCACCAAAATTTTGCCTGAAAATTCGCAATGTAGAAAGATAAACAATTCTTGCAAAATTTAATAGAAACTTAATAAAACATTACTATTTTATGTTATGGACAGTGCATATTACAAAAACCTTAAGATTTGTTTAAAACATTTACTCTGGACTAGACGCCTTTTCCCGTATAGAATTCAGTTAGTGATCTTAGAATTGTAGGGGTGGTATTTAGAAACTTATTTTATGGTGGATAATACCGTTATATAAAGATAAAGACCTTTTGTTCAAGCAGTTTCGGCTATGCATTGATCGATACATCAAACTTTGAACCCCCTTTCTTTTCTTAGTGTTCGCCTATGTATAAGGAACGAACAGGGGTGGACAACCTTTTGTGTAATGGGGGTCAGATTATAAGTGTTTTTTTGAAAATATAAAAGAATTTGTTAATTAAGAACCACGTTTATTTCTCGTATCGTTTATAATGAATTACCATGAAATAAAAAAAAAATAATAAGTATAAATGAAAATAATTAATGCGATCTCTGGTGCCTTTTTGAAAATATAAAAGAATTTGTTAATTAAGAACCACGTTTATTTCTCGTATCGTTTATAATGAATTACCAGAAATAAAAAAAAAAATAATAAGTATAAATGAAAATAATTAATGCGATCTCTGGTGCCTTATAGATTTTGATAACAATTCAATGTCCGGTTCGATTTGTCTGGTGCTTAAACGCAAGTTGCTTTCCAAGCTCGTGTCAGTTGTTGAAGTTCTGTATTTTAATTTTAGAAACTTCATTTTTGAGAAGAACTGTTCACAACGATAGGTTGAGCCCAATAAAGAGTAAATGTACTTTGCATTATCAACAGCGAATAAATATTCGGCACAATTATTGTTTCCTATATTTGGAAGGTAAAATAACAGACTAACAGGTATCAAACGTATAAAGGAAACTGCTATTTATTATTCTTTAGAAAGGTCTTTCGGGCTGGAGTTGGCCCGCGGGCCGTAGGTTGCCCAGACCTAGGGGTTTAGACTGCCCGTTGATATATGGGTCAATCGTACAAATCCAAAATCCACTCAAGTAAAACCATGGACAAATTAGTTTAGAAGATGTGCATATAGGTATTATATAACTAACGTTATTCCTTACCAAATTAGAAATATCAGGTAAACTGCCCAACAAATTGTTTTTTTCCATTTTACCAATTCCTTAAAACTTTCAGTTAAACACACGTTTCACACAAAATCCTAGATCGACGGCTGTTATTTTAGAAATTAACCACTTTACACGGATTTGTTAAACTTTTTACATATTAAGTCATTAAGTTTCTGCGATTCTGTAGCGCTAAATTCACCAGTTTGTTGATGAAGAACAAGAAGTAGCACGCTCAACAAACACTAGCTATATGCAAGTACGTATTAATGCAAGATAGACATCT